GAAAAAATTTCTTTATCGAAGATTGGTTGCTTTGATCATGCCCAAAGCTGTTCAAATAATGACTTTAATTACTAATCATGTAAGACTGTACTGCAGCAAAAGGGTTAGGTTTTCATTTGGAAGTTTGAAAAGCTTTCCAAACACAGGACCCACACCTCTGCCGTTCATTGGAAATCTACACACTATGCTTTGGCACGAACCGGGCTATAGTGCATTTGAGATGTGGAGACGAAAGTATGGACCTGTGTACACTTACTGGCTCGGTTAGTTCCTTTCTAAAACGCTTTCTCACAGAGGTTGGGAAATCAAAATATTCTTATGTTGCATTCAAAATATGTATTCAGAATGGCAATATTTTAGAAAACATTCTTCTGACTGGGTAATTAGAAATTGGAAGGAAGCTTTGATTTCTATCGCATTCCTTATTATTTTTTGTGTACAAATGAGTTATTTGAGTGTTATGTGTTAGTAGATTTGACATTGTATTTTTCTCTCGTCATGTTGGTTGATCCACATCTCAAAAAGTATCAGAACATTTCAGGACCCTTTCCCTTTGTAATGATCAGTGATTATCCCACTTTAAAGGAGACGTTTGTCAAAGATGGCGACGCTTACGCCGGAAAATTCCATTTGGAAGAAATAACAAAGCTTTACAGAGGTACGCGACTGCGAAAGTCAGTCTTATATGGTTAGGAATTACCTAAATTAATGACTTCTCCTAAGGTGGTGCCTATGGGATTTTGGATACCTCAGGTGATCTGTGGCGTGATCATAGAAGATTCGCGCTACATGTTCTAAAAGATTTTGGCCTCGGGAGTGACGGAATGGAACAGAGGGTAACAAAAAATGTTTTGGATTTACCTTGTTGCATTTGCATTATGATCACTACAGATCCCTGCAAGCATCTCCTTGAAGGCGAACTAATACCAGAAAATTTGGACTGAGACAGCTTAAAACAATCCCGAGCCAATTTTTTTCTGAGACACCAACTTACTACTAACAACAAGTATTGAAGGACGTTATCGGATATGCTAAACTTAAGCGCCACTATCTACCGCATAGCGTTTTACTTTAGAGTAATGCTAACCATGCTGTAGGTTAGAAATACCAAAATTTTCTCTCAAAGTAAGAACAGAACCTACAGTGCGCTGACCGTAAGTGAGGAGGCTAATGTACAAGATCGACATCTTAACCTAACTTGGTTTAATCAGTT